CAATTAAAAATGGGGTACAGATCTAAACATAGACCTCTCATTAGAGAATTTTCTAATAGCTGAGAAACACTTAAAGAAAATGTTCAACTTCCTTAGCAACTGGGGAAATAAAAATCAAAACTACTTTGAGATTCCATCTTACACTGCTAGAATGGCTAATATCTTAAACACAAATTACAGTTTATGCTGGAGAGGATGTGGAGCAAGAGGAACACTCCTCCCTTGCTGGTGGGAGTGCAAACTTGTACAGCTACTATGGAAATCAATATGGTAGTTCCTTATAAAATTGGGAATTGATCTACCTTAAGACTCAGCTATACCACTCTTGGGCATATACCCAAAGAATGCTCCATCCCACCACAAGGAAACTTGCTCAACTATGTTCATAGTGGCTTTATTTGTAACAGCCAGAAATTGGAAACAACCTACATGTCCCTCAACAGAAGAATGGATTAAAAAAAATGTGAAATATTTACACAATGGAGTATTACTCAGTTGAAAAAATGACATCATAAAATTTGCAAGGCAAATGGATGGAACCAGAAAAAATCATCCTGGGTGAGGTAACCCAGACACAGAAAGACAAATATAGTATGTATTCATTTATAAGTGGATATTAGCTGTTAAGTAATTGATAAACTGCTGTGGGATGTTCTGTATGACAAATGTGTTGCTAGTTAGTCAATAAATAAAACACTGATTGACCATTGGCTAGGCAGGAAGTATAGGCGGGACAAGGAGGAGAATAAAGCTGGAAAGTAGAAGGCTGAGTCAGAGAGACGCTGCCAGCCGCCACGATGTCAAACAGCACGTGAAGATGCTGGTAAGCCACGAGCCATGTGACAAGGTATAGATTTATAGAAATGTATTAATTTAAGCTGTAAGAACAGTTAGCAAGAAGCCTGCCATGACCATACAGTTTGTAACCAATATAAGTCTCTGTGTTTACTTGGTCGGGTCTGAGTGGCTGTGGGACTGGCAGGTGAGAGAGATTTGTCCTGACTGTGGGCCAGGCAGGAAAACTCCAGCTACAATAACCAAGTTGCAATCTGTAGAAAAGGTGAGGTTAGGTAAAGAGGAGGGGTCAGGGGTCACATGGATCTTCCTGGGAAGGGGAAATAGACTAGATTTTACAGGTGGAGTGAGGGCAGGTGGGGACAGGAGTGGGAAAGATCAGGAGGTGGGGATGGAATTGAGGGAGAGCGTGTGGAGAGCGATGGCTGGAACTGAGGGGCATTTGAGGGGTGGTGTGGAACCCTAGTGCAGTGGGGACTTCCTATAATCTATGAAGGCGATCCTAGTGAGGACTCTTAGTAATAGGGGATATGAGGTCTCAACTGGCTATCTCTTGTAGCCAGGCAAGGCTGCCAGTGGCAGAACTGTGTTGTATTCAATTGAGTTGTTGGCCAAGGGGGTCTCATAAAAATCTCCAAACAACCCAGGATGATGCTAAGACAAAGGGTTACTCTCTGCAAACTGACAGTGGGGTCCCATTGCCCAGGACAACATCCATGCACAACCTGTTGAATATGAAGAAGTTGAGCTGGTTCCTAGATGGAGCCTTCATCCTTACATTCTTGTCTGTTTGGTGTGGGAAGATGCTCTGCATCTCTGCATGCAGACTACCAAAAGAGGAGTGTGAATACCAACCCAGCCATAAAACATACATACAATCTGTCCTGCCAGCAAAATTTGCTAGGGAAATGTGGCACATAACTTGTGGGAGTAGCCAAATAATGTCTGATTTGACCTCAGGCCCACTCCATAAGAAGGAACCCATATCTAACAGGGCTTAGGTAACCAAGAACCAGAGACTAGATAACCCAGAGTAAAATCAAACATGACTGGTCTAAACAAACACAATAAACTGACTCCTAATGATATTCTGATATACTCACAGTTCAGTGCCTTATCCAGTCATCATTTCAGAGGCTTTCCTTGGCAGCAGGTGGGAACAGATGCAGAGACCCAGAGATGGACATTATGCAGAGAGAGAGAGAGAGAGAGAGAGAGAGAGAGAGAGAGAGAGAGAGAGAGAGAGAGAGAGAGTCTAAATTGGAGGCCTCCATCAAATCTCTCCCCTCAGAGCTCAGGGAATCCTGAGAAAGAGGAGACAGAAATATTATGAGAGCCAGAGGGAGTGGAGGACACCAGAAGAGCATGGTCCTTTGGTTCAACTAAGCAAGGCACGTTGAGCTCACAGAGATTGAAGCAGCAAGCACAGGGTCTACATGGGTCTGCTCCAGGTCCTCTGTGTATACACTATAGCTATTAGCTTAATACTTTTTTTTTTTTTTTTTTTTTTGGTTTTTCGAGACAGGGTTTCTCTGTGTAGCTTTGCGCCTTTCCTGGGACTCACTTGGTAGCCCAGGCTGGCCTGGAACTCACAGAGATCCGCCTGGCTCTGCCTCCCGAGTGCTGGGATTAAAGGCGTGCGCCACCACCGCCCGGCTAGCTTAGTACTTTTAATGGGACTCCTGACTATGAAAGCAGCTGGGTCTCTGACTCTTGTGCCTGCTTTTGGGACTCTTCCTCCTGTCGGGATGCCATGGCCAACTTCAATATGGAAGTTTTTCCTTCGTCTTATTATACTTTGTCATGTTTGGCTGTTATCTCCTAGAAGCCTGTTCTTTTCTAATGAGAGATGCAAAGGGAGTGGATTTGGAGGGGAGAGGAGGTGGGGAGGAAGGGAAGGGAGGGGAAACGCTAATCTGGATATATTGTATAAGAAAAGAGTCTACTTTGAAAAAAAAAAGAGTGCTGGCTGTTCTTCTAGAGGACATGAATTTAGTTTGAAGTAAGTACACTGGATGGCTCAGTAACTAGCTCCAGGGCTGCCAATGTCTCTATGGGTGTGCGCATGCACATGAGCATGAGCATGCATGGGCGCATGCGCTGACACACACACACACACTCACTCTTCTCTCTCTCTCTCTCTCTCTCTCTCTCTCTCTCTCTCTCTCTCACACACACACACACACACACACACTCACTCACACATGCACAGTCTCTAAGAAGTCTTTTCTCGGCACGGAATATTTGCTGAGTGAATAACTCCATTTTAAACTCCTACTAAAAATAAAATCTGATGTTGGATCAGTCGTCTGAAAGTTGGAGGCTACATCATCTTTACTAAGAGCAACCAGAAAGTGTTTCAGAGAGGCTATTTTCGTAGACCTTACACTATTGTTTATGTATTTCATTGAGGGTCTGTTCTTCCTTAATGGCCTTGCATTCTTTCTTGATATAAGGCTTCTGGTAAGCACAGGCTGGTGTTTTCTGAATGGGGTGACATGTGTCTGCCATCTGACTTTCCCTGGCTGCATACATTGACGTGTTCCAACTGCCTCTGCATACCTTGGAAAGTACTGCACGCTGAGAAGTTCCACTGGCCAGATCCCCTGACTATGAGTCAGAGTCAGTCAGAACATTTCTTGAGAGTTATGTTAAAATGTATTAAAAGAACAAAAGACTTTAATAGCTGGCATCAAATGGTCTGTGCTTAGAAATGTCCCCCAAGAATCCGTGGATACCTTGTTCATTTGATACACCTGATGTGTGGTGGCCCGTGGGAAGCATAGGTACACCTCTCCCCTGCCCTCACTTTTGGAAGCAATTTGTAATGGAATATGACAAGTTCAAAATTGTCAGTTAATCACATTTAATGTTTCTTAGTAATGTTTATTTCCACAGCATTAGTGCATTGTGGAAAGGAAAATAAAGTATGATATCTTAACCCAGGGATCAAGCTCAGATATTTGGGATCCTTTCAGCCCTGATTTAGTTCAATTACAGGACAGAGGGGGACATTCAAAACATTTAAGTGCTTCTAGAAGCCCAGGTCTGAAAATGAATCACAAAGCCATTTTTCATCTTGTCAGTCCCGACTTCATGCTGAAAGAATTCTCACAGTAAAACAAATGGCTATTCAGACAGCATTCACCATTCCCTGGTATTAAGTCAAAGCAGTAATTCCTGTTATGGAGGTTTGAAAATCTGCAGTCACCACTTCTAAAGTGTGTGTATGGAATTCATAATTAATCAGCATGCTCATATCACACAAAAACAATGCTGAGGCATCAGGAACAGATTCAACAACCCACACACCACAAGGCTCTTAATACAGGCCTAAAGTTGTTGAGATTATGAAGACATTACCTTTCTAGGTTTCATCTAGCATAAAAGGAATTGTAAGTCTGAAGAGACTGACTCAAGCTTATTGGGAACTCTGAAGGATGGCTGGGAAATTGTTTGGCAGCCAAACCTTCGTGCAGGTGCCTTGGGATACACAGGTGGCTTTGAGAAGCTCTCTGCTCTAGTGAAACCCCCCATCAATTATACCAAACTCATTAGGAACGGGAATCCAGGCATGAACATTTTTAAAAGCCTTCCAAGGTTCCCATATAAAGCCAAGGCTGAGAAGCATTGCTCTAATTATAGCCTAGTGGTGTAGCCCAGAGTGTGGGCACTATCTTTGGGCATGCTGGGGAGAAGTGGGTGACTAAAGGCAGTGCTTGCTATTAATACATGTGGCACTTTCTTAAGAACTTTGCCTGTGTTAACACATTGAATTCTCCCTAATGGACAGAAGCTATTATTATCAACATATTACAGATGTGAAAAAGATGACAGAAGTCATACAACTGAGACTGGTGGAAGAGGATTCAGACTCATGCACTTGACCATACAGTGGTACTTATTTAACAAGTGTTTGTTAAGCTCTTCTGGCATATGAAATATTTGTAAGAATTCCTGCTGGAGTCTGCAAGTGCTTAGTGCGGTAAACAAGAAATGTTTTTTTTTTTTTTCTTTTTTTTTTTTGGTTTTTTCGAGGCAGGGTTTCGCTGTGTAGCTTTGCGCCTTTCCTGGAACTCACTTGGTAGTCCAGGCTGGCCTCGAACTCACAGAGATCCACCTGCCTCTGCCTCCCGAGTGCTGGGATTAAAGGCGTGCGCCACCACCGCCCGGCTTGTTTTGTTTTTTTAACCACCCATCACCTAATTATCAGCAACTTCCTTAGTATGTCCTAGAATCAATGGTGGAGAAAAAAAAATCGTGTTCATTTCAATGGTGTCCTGGAAACCCTTATATTACATGCATAGGTACCAAGACGATTGGGGTTTTATTTTCCAGCCATTTGTGTTAGGCTTATAAAGGGCCAGGGGGCAGAATGAGAGCCTGGGGCATTCTAACAACCTGAAACAGGCTACATATCTTACTCACAAATAGCACTCAGCTCAAATAAGGCTGGAGGAACAGAATTATTTTATATGTATTTGAGACAGAGGCTCACTATGCACTCCTGACTTGTCTGGAACTCACTATGTAGATCAGGCTGGAATTTTTTGAATTCACAGAGATCTGCCTCCCTCTGCCTCCAAAAATGCTGAAAATAAAGGTGTGTGCCACCATGCCAGGCAAAGAATTCTCAGGAGCAGAGAAAAAATCCACAACATAATTTACCTTCTTTTTCCTCCCTAAAGATGGACTACTGTCAAAGACACACCTTCCCTGTGGTCATCTCAGGGATCAGCTGGCTATAGATAATATGGTCTCACTTATCTGCAGCATGAAAATAAATTTCTCCTCATCTTCCCTACTGATTCTCACTGCCAGGTTTCACAGGGGAGACATAAGATCACCACTGAACTCTGCAACCAGATTTTACACATTAGTTATGCAAAAAAAATTTTCTGTATTAAGAGAGTCTCACAGAATGACAAAAAGGAACATGCACACAGAGGTGTTTGTTTATTTGTTTTGGTTTGTTGGCGGCTTATTTGGTTGTCTGCAGTAGAGTAAGAGACTGACAAAAGATACCACTGTGTAGCTAAGGCTTCAGTATGCACCTTTCAACCCTGAGGACCTCCTGACCCTTCTGTGTCTATCTTGAGTGCTGGGATTACAGGCATGTTGCCATTACTGGTAAGAATTGGTTGAGAGTACCAAATACCTTTTTTTCCTTTCATTAACAAACAAACTTAGTTCCAAATCTGAGTAAAAATGAGCTTACATAAAAGCAATATCAGGAAATGTACACATTTGAGTTTGAAATAATATAATTATTTGATCCAGTGGTAATCTTGGAGAACTATGTAAGATCTAATGCCACTTTACAGCGGTACTAAAACTAAAGAAACGAATACTTCATTGGAAATCTTTCAGTGGGTGGAAAAAGCTTTTGAAAATATATTTCATGGCGCTGGAGCTTGGGATTAGGGGTCATGCAGCATACCTAAAACTTTAGGTTCAATCCTCCAAACTACAAACAATGCATATGCCAGTGATAGTCATTTATATTTCAGTGGAAAGGAAGGGCTAAGAGCAAATTTCGCTGCTGTTCTAGGAAAGAAACCACACGACTGTTGAGACCCACAAAGGGAACCAGTGTTGGAAACGGGAGAAAGAGAAGTTGTAGTGTTGGCAGGATGACTCCATCATCTCAAAAGTTTATCTCCCAACCACTTTCCAGAAGGACTCATGTCTACTCCAGAAGGAAAATAAGGGAAAAGGGCTTGTTTCTTTTCCTTGATAACACACATTTCCCAAGGCCAACTTGCAAATTAAGACAATGAATTCTATATCAAAAGACAATAAGACATATTTCATTATTTTGGCATTAAGCAAAAATTGGAAAGCAGGCACATTAAAATCCCTTTTCAAAGAGCAAAGACAAGAGGAGGAAGATTTCCAGCATCATTGTTACCATCATCAACTTGGCTCAAAAAGGAACACAGAGAGCAGATGTTTGAGGAAGTTTGACTGTGAGAGGCAAGACGCAAATTAATATAATAAGAACCACATTGTCACAACTGGTAAAACCATTACCCACACCAAAAATGAGAAATCATATTGTAAAATATGTGAAGAATTAGCTGTGTGCACTAGGATCAAAGTAATGATGTGAACAGAAGTGGGCAATATACAGAAAACTGGGATTATCTCCAAATGGTAGATCTATTGAAGTATTTGGAGAACACATTTTTTTGATAATAAAGTAATTTCAAATAAACTGATAGTAAAAGAAGATGTTACTGATTCTAGCAACTGACTGATCCAGAAAGTAATGTATGACTCCTTTGCTGTAGCTTTCCTTTATGAAATTCAGATTCATTTCTCCCTGAAGAGCTGGAAATAAGGAAAATTAAAAAAAGAAGTGAGAATTATTACCCTACAGACCAAAGAAAGTTCATTTTCAGTCATAAATATGAGAGGGGGAAATGTCAATGCTTGAAATTAAATATCCCATTCTTAGTAAATGTAATATGACAGTAAATGCAATATATCCACTGATTAAGGGAACCTTTAAAAGGAAGAAATCTGAGAAGGGCTAGGAAAAAAAATCATTGGGTCAGTTACTGGGGCAATAAAACAAATCTCCCCAAAGTTACCATCTTAAATTCATCACAGTGTTATTGTTTCTCATGATTTGTACTTACTAGGAACACATTAGTAGTGTGGCTGGGCAGATGTGTCTCCAAGAAGGTAGAGCTGTAGCAGTAGGGGCTGTCCAACCATTTCTCTCTCTTCTTAGGGTCTCACAGGTTTTGTGTTCAATGTTATAGCACGATGTAATTAGGTACTCCTCAGATTTCAAGAATCCAAAAGCTACCTGTTGAGTCACACCACAGGTCAAGACTCCAGAATGGGGCAAAATGGAAGACAAGTCTTCTTCTGTTTCCTTGCCTGAAAGGTCATTCAATACCACTTCCGTCAAATTTTGTGTGACTAGTGGTCAAACAGTGCCAGAAGCCTTTTTTGTGTTTCAAGAGCATGAACTGCAATTCTTCTCACTGGAGGAATATAACAAACGTATTAGGTGGGGTAGTGTATATTGGTGTGAAAAGGTCAGATGGGGTAGCAGGTAGTACTGAGACCAGCTTCAAAGGTACAATCTATTAGAAATCTCCCCCTAGACTGTAGATTCTCTTCTAGACTACAGCAACAATAAAGACAATAGTACAATAATCAAAAGAATGGCGTGTCTCATTTAATCCTATCTTCCCTTTACAATTTTCAAAACTGAGCTTCAGAAAGCTTTCTTAGCATGCTCAAGAGCCTGCTGCAAATAGCTCAGCCGGAAAACACGGATCTATTTCCAATTCCAGTCGCTTTTAGCCACCACTTGGCATCCTCTTAGAACAAGTTCATCACTAAACTCTCATGATCATGAAGAAAGAAGGTCTATTCCCCAACAGCACTTTTGAGATGGAACTCAGCACTAGACTCATAAAAAAAATGGTGGGAAGTGGGAAATGTTCAGCACAGTCCTACCCGGGCTTTACTAGAGTTTGCATCCTCCCTCTGCACTTGTCCACAGTGAAGTTGGACTTTATCAGCACTGTTTCCCATTCTGCATCAGTTGCAACCATTTTATTTTAACTTCGATTGACCTAACCACTTCTCTGACACTTAATAGTTGGCCAACTCTCAAATTTAAAGGAGAAAAATACCGTCAAGCAAGACTTCCTTCAAATTCGCCCCTTTCCATATCTCTTTGACCTTAACCCCTTCTTTTCTCTTGTCAACTTGTCTCCCATGTGTCCAAAGATAAGCCTTCTTAGCCGGGCGGTGGTGGCGCACGCCTTTAATCCCAGCACTCGGGAGGCAGAGCCAGGCGGATCTCTGTGAGTTCGAGGCCAGCCTGGACTACCAAGTGAGTTCCAGGAAAGGCGCAAAGCTACACAGAGAAACCCTGTCTCGAAAAAACCAAAAAAAAAAAAAAAAAAAAAAAAAAAAAAAAAAAAAAAAAAAAAAAGATAAGCCTTCTCTTTGCATGTTGGATCCCCACCCTCTTCCTGTCTGTTCTGAGAACTTTCACTCTTAATTATATCCACTTCTTTCACCCCAAACCCCCGTCTTCTGTTGGCTCTTCCCCTTCCTTTTAAAAACACTTTCACATTCCTTATCCTAAAAACAATAATCCTACTCCAGTCTGCTCCCCTCTCACTTAAACTGCCTTCCCTGTTTCCCTTCAACTCTAAAAGGCTTATCAAAACAGTTTACACTGGATGAATTCACTCTGTTATCTCCAACTTGCTCCATGACTCATTTTGGTCTGATTTCAGCTTCCCACTCCCTTCAAGCTGCCCTCTCAAATGACCCAGCCTGAGTCCAGCTCTGAAACCAGGGTATGGACAGCTACAAACTCACCCTGTCATAATAGATGCTGTTCCTATAGCCTTCTTTCCAACTGTTACTAGCTAGGAATACAGAGTTTAATTGATCAGTTCTTCATTAAAAGTATTAAGTTGTGTGGCTCAATGAAACACTGGGAACCAAAGAACAGAAATGTACTTCTCTCTGAAGCTCACATGGCTTCCAGACTGCACATTCTATTTGTATTAATCCCCACCTCTTCCTCACAGTCAAACGTTTTTCTCTTAATGTCTAGTAAAGTCAAGTTCTGTCAGAGGGTGAGAAATTGTAGGAAAGATTATAATAGCTTAGTTTATCCTAAATGTCTTTAGAGTTGACAGCTCTCTCCTGTCAGGATTATCCACGTACTTATGGAATGACACTTTTGTTGCTTCCCAGTTTTGTCAGTTATGAATAAGGCTCCAATAAACATTGTCACGCAGGTTTTTGTGGGGGCCTATGTTTCCAAGCCCTTTGAGCAAGTACTAAGACGCGTGATTCCCAGACCCTGTGTTTCTTTTATAAGATAGTTTCACAACGTCTTTCAAAGACACTTTAGGATTTTTGTATCCCCCAAGCAAGGAATGAGAGTTCCTGTTGACCCATAGCCCTCCGTATGCTCAGGAATATCAGTCTTGACACTTGAATCTTATGATTCTACAATCCTGCCCCAAAGCTGTCCAAGGTAGGAAGAACTGGGGCCAACAGTGACAGAACTAAGGTTCTGTGTAATAAGAATGTGAGGAATGCAAGACAAATATGGATCCTCAAGCTGTGTGTGGTGGATAATTCAGGTAACGTGCTTTATAGACCAGATTCAAAGCTGTCCGTCATTGATTGATTGATGCTGCCCGTCATTGATTGAGAGAATATTGTTCTCCCAGTGCAAAATTAATAGTTTCATCAGATTAGTGTTCAGTTCTGCATAACACACTTACAGGAAACAAACTACTGTCTCAGAGCTCTAATGCAATTGGTTGAAAGCTTTGTTCTGAAGAATACCAGCATCTCATATATTCCTTGAGGGGAAAAAAAAGAATTGCAAACATGCCTGAAGTAACATCTGTGAATATTAAAACTGGGAGCATCAAACAGATTTCTATGATCACGATTATCATTCTTAGAGGCATTGTGTTAGACAGCTAGAGTCATCTGAGAGGAGGAACTTCAACTAAGAAAATGCCTCCCTAAGATCAGGCTGTAAGCAAGCCTATGGGCATTTTCCTAATCGGTGATTGATATGGGAGGGCCCAGCCCATTAGAAGTGGTGCCATCCCTGGGCTGACAGTCCTGAGTTCTATAGGAAAGCAGGGTGAACAAACCATGAGAGCAAGTCAGCAAGCAACATCTGTTCATGGCCTCTGCATCAGCTCCTGCCTCCCGGTTCCTGCCCTGATTGAGTTCCTGTCCTGACTTCCTTCAGTGATGATGGACTGCAATGTGGAAGTGTAAGCAAAATAAACCCTTTCCTCCCCAACTTTCTTTGTTCATGGTATTCATCATAGCAATAGTGACCCAAACTAATACAAGGCATATTTACTTCGAGCTTTAAAAAATGTTCTGTATTTAACTATCATGTTTAATTAAATTAACTGTACTCTATAGCAACCTAACGTCCCAGAATTAAAAGATTCATTGAAAACTGACAGTGCTATGAGATAGAGTCCCTGGGTCCAGTGAATTTGAAGACCTTCTACATTTCTCAATAATCACAAAAGAAGGATTAGATCAGGCACGAGTGCCTTACCTGAAAAACCTTGGCATATCACCCATCTCCAGAGCCTTTAATCAAAACCCACTAAGGCAGAGGGATCCAGCTGCTGATTGGTCATTTCCACCATCCTTACTGAGATGGTTCGTGAGTGATTTAATAATTTAAAGCTTTGTGTGTTAGCTTAGTGTATCTGAGCTTTTTTTTTTTTTTTTCTTTCTTTTTTTCAAGACAGGGTTTCTCTGTGTAGCTTTGCGCCTTTCCTGGAACTCACTTGGTAGACCAGGCTGGCCTCGAACTCACAGAGATCCACCTGCCTCTGCCTCCCGAGTGCTGGGATTAAAGGCGTGCGCCACCACCGCCCGGCATATCTGAGCTTTTTTAAATGAATCATTCAGTCTAGTCATGTGTGACATTATAATGTGTATAATGCAGCTGGACAGTCACCCTGAAATGGGGATACAAGTGCAGAACTGCAGGGGAAAATGGTTAAATTATAAAGAGAAAAGAAAAAGACAACTGTATCATTTAGAAATACTGTTAACATTCTGAAGTTTTGTTTCCAATAATATTCCTGGTTTCGTACAGATTTGAGGCCAGGCCTTGCAGGTCCTGACAGGGAAGAAGCTGGCAGGTCCTGACAGATGAGAGCTGTGGTGGAGGGACCTCCAAATCCAGTCAGCTCTGATGATGGAGTCACAGGTCTAGGCCACTGGGGTTGGAGGGACTATGGAAGATGTGGGCAAGGGTCGCATAACTGGTGGTGTCAACCAGGGGGTGGTGGTCTTTGGGTGAAAGCTCCTTCAACAGGTTCTGTAGGTGGAGTTTTTCTGTGTCCTGGTAGTTGCTCTCAGATAACCACAAAAAGGCTTAATATTAATTATAAATGTTCGGCCAATAGCTTAGGCTTGTTTTTTAGCTAGCTCTTATAACTGAAATTAACCCACTTCTGTTAATCTATATGCTGCCATGTGGCTCATGGCTTGTACTCACTCCTCTGACTCCACCTTCCTCCTTCCCAGCATTCTCTCTGCTCTGAAAATTCTGCCTAGCCATCGACTAATCAGCTTTTTATTAACAATGAGAGCAATACATATTGCAGTGTCCAAAGATTGTTCCACAGCATGGTTCTGAAACAGAAACAGCAATCTGAATAATTTAATCTGTTCTTAGTCACAGAAGCCAAAAAAAAAAAAAAAAAAAAAAAAAGAGGCTGGTGCATGGGTCCAGTATACAAGCATCTTTTATCCTGAATACAGTATCTCCCTAAGGCATAATAGTGGATCCTTAAATGTTGAAGACATTCTTACCAGCTTTGACAATACAGGAAATGTTTTTCTATTTACCAAAGTATTCATATAAATGGCTCTTTTTGAGTGGGATTTAGGGAGTGGGATTTAGTGAGCAGCTCTGAGGAGCTTGAGGGATCCATGGAGGCTCTGAGGGGAGATGTGGTGGTGGCAGAGGAGTCTGCAGAGCCAACAGTATCTCCAGAACAACAACAATGAAGAAAAATGCAAAAAAAAAAAAAAATCAGGTCTTATGTGAAGATACTTTTGAAAAGTGGACTTACGAAATTGGGAGGAAAGATGGCTGAGCCAAGCCACACCTGAGGCAGAGAAGGGCAAAACTAGAGTCACTGTGGTCAAGGGTGTGGGAGCGATATGGGAGCATAGCCACAGCAGACAAAGAACATGTTATTACTGAATAGGCCTGCTCTGTGCTCTCAGGCTGACCCTTAGCATGGAGTTACTGCTGCTGCAGCCCATGCTGCTCGCTCTGCTGGAGGAAGGAGTATAACACGAATCTTAAAAGATCTATGCAGGGTCGCTTGGCTCGGCCTGGGAGGAGGGGACTGGACCTGCCTGGACTGAGTCTACCAGGTTGATCTCAGTCTGTGGGGGAGGCTTTTCCCTGGAGGAGGTGGGAATAGGGGGTGGGCTG